TATCCAACATTAGTTTAAAGCAAACATAAAAAAAAGGAAAAAAAAAAAAAAAAAAAAGAGAGAGAAAAGAAAAAGAAAACATGCATCAAGTATGTATTTGGTTTTAAAAAGCAAAATAATTGACACTATAAATAACTTTTAGAGTAATACCAAAGCATGTAAATGGATAATATATTAAGAAAATATGCTTTACCTAAGAGGATAAAATTTAACTTGATAATCTAAAGAAACAAGTATTCACTAAAACTTTATTTCTATGAAATTCTGGCATTTAAATTACAGTAGCATTTGGTGTCTAAAAATATTTTACAGATTTTATAATAAAAGTAATCAAATAATCAAAGTTTGAACACCTTCGCATTAAGAAATTACTGAGCAAGGAATGGGCTTTTTTTTTGCTCTCATGTTAAAACTGGTAAATGCATGTAAAGAAATCACTGATTAGCATTTATATAACTGCCACTACTAGTAGTTTCACCATGCAAAACTAAAACAATTGGAGTTATAATTATTTAAATATTTGCTCTTAAAACTAAATACTTGGAATAAAAAGTTCCAACTAATTTTACCAGAATTTGCATTTACATTTTTTCTATAGTACATTAATGGCCTAAGTATAGACACTAAACAGCCATTAAATGTTATTTATAGTAAAGTGCAAATATTCTAACCAGTCATTTATTGTAAATACTGTAATGTACTAAAATTAAGAACATACTATCATCATCACAACTAAGAATATACTCACCCTCAAAAAGAAAATATTTCAGAATATTTTTTTTATTTTAACAAGAATCAACTATTTTAGCTCAATGGAAATTAGCATTATCAGTTGGTTTACCAAATTCTTGGTATCCATGGCTGGAAGTTACTAAGAAAATTCAACAAAGGCAAAAACAATTTTTCAAATAAAATTGACTAAATGTTAAATATAGTGGACAAGTATGACAAATCCAAAATAATAACTCAGCAATAGATAGAATTATAATGAAACATTTCAATGAAGACAAATTATTTTACCTAATAAAGCCAATTTCATATTAAAATGTCAACCAAGTCCAAATGTGATTATCTAAAGCATTAAACAAGTGAATGACAGACAGCAATAGAAAATGCAATGAGGAATAAAAAGAATGAGCAAAATAAACAATACATTAAGATGAATATTAAAATAGAAACAAAGTTGTTTTCACTCAAGCAAACAGAGGGATATATCATTCTAAATAAGTTAAAAGCATAATGGGCATTAACAAAAACAAGTTTGCATATATTTTTTTGTTGAGTACAATACAAAAAGGTAAATGGTAAGGGAAGTGTGTGTGTGTGTGTGTGTGTGTGTGTGTGTGTGTGTGTGTGTGTTCATGTACAATATCACTCTATAATGAAACCAATCCCCCAGTTGACCAAGCCTACAATATCTAGAAAAAATTAAGACTAGTAATATTGAAACATGGGAACAAATCCTTATGATAAACCATTCGAAAATAGCAGCAACAGTAGCATAAGATGTGCCATCCTGCCCTTGGAAGTCTGTTTCAAAGAGAGATCAAGACATATTGGGGGGTGGAAAAAAAAAAAAAAAAAAATCACTTTCCTCAGTTATATAAACAAGGAAACATTCAAATTTTGAAATACTTCAGAACATCAATAAAGTTGATGTAAATAAATTTCAAAGCTTATCAACAGTACTGCAATAAAATTTCATCAAGCCAAAAGTTTTAATCTTTATGTTCCTTTATCAAGTGATTTTAAGTGTAATTGAGGGATAATTGCTGCCACTTACCTTTAATTAAAATTTATGTGTAAAATGTCTGAAATTAATCTGTGCCATTAAGAACTTTAGTACCGAATCTGCATATTATTACTAGTACTGGGCCAATCAACTTTTATTTATCTAAAACTTAATCCTTCTAGGCTGTATACAAAGGTTAAACTGGAAATATTACATAGGCATTAACATTTAAACAATAACTATTTTATACATATTATAAAAATAAACAAACTTGAATAAATCCATGCAAAAAAGGCACTGATTAGGCAAATTAGCAACACCAATAAACTACGTATTGTACTAAAACAATTTTAATATGGCTTTCAACAGTTGCAATGATTTTAGAATATATTTTGATAGTGGTAATATTTATTCTTAATTAAAATATAAATCTTATGAAAAGCATCAGTTAAATAGTAACCGTCAGAATCCTTAAAAATGGACATTTTTATATCCTAATTTAATATTGCAACAAAAGAAAATTACACACATGAGAATTTATTCCAACAGGTGGAAAAAGAGAAAGTTTATATAAAAAATATACAGTAATATATTGAAATTGTGTATGTGTATACATTAACACTGAGACTCTTTTCATTTAACCATAAACAATTTCATTACTAATTTGACAGATTACAATGGTAACAAGATTGAAAGTACCTAATATTAGCAAAGAGATTAATTCATACCAATATAATAATAATAATAATAAAAAGCTCTATGACCTTGAATTAAGAGACACCCACTGCCCAAAATTAAATGATGGAGGACACATTCAACAAGCACTTAAAAAACATCCAAACATAAAAAATCAATAAGTTCTGGCTGACTCTACTGAAACGTAGAAATAGTAACAATGAATACATAAATAGTGCAAACAGTGGTCAATAATAGATGAATATAGTCGTGCTTATAACAATTACTTAAGTTGTAAGAAAGGTTAGGTTGGTAAATTTGTTTAGTGACTAAAATTTGAAATAAGTGAAATATTTGCATAAAAACATTCTCATGAATCTAAAAACTGATGTGGATGGAAAGGGGCAAGGGTTTTGTCATCATTGATCCAGGTGAAATCCACTTGTAGTTCCAACAGAAACAGGTGAAGTCTTGTCAGTAATTGGTAACCTGAAAGTAACTTACCTTCTATTAGGATATGGTAAAATGGGAACTTAATAACACAAACACAAGTCAATACATGAAGAAACTTTATTGCAAATCATTTTCCCCCAATGATCTTACCTTCCTTCAATCAGCTGCTGTCCTTTCAACTAAGTGCTGAAAAGCAGCGGTGTAGTTGTAGCTAATCATACAAGGCAATAGAGAATAAAACTGAGGATCTCTGATGAATATTTTACATGTAGAAAAATGAAACTTATTCACAATGGTCACTGATTAATGACACTAAACTATGTTAAAATACTTGCAACTCTGAATTCATCAGGTTCACAAGTTACAGTGTTAGACTGTGGGCACTCAACTAAGACATGGAGAAGTGGTTAGGAGAGCAGGGACATACAATGCAATGAATGGGAAGTTTGTACTGTCAAAAGAAACAGCATGATCAAAGTAGGACAACACTGATAGAAAGCTGCAAGTGATGGTACTTATTCCTCAAGGGTTTGTTCCACCCATGAATTTGATTCAAAATGTGCTGTACTCCCCACCTGAAATAGTTAAGAACCTCTGCAGAAAAACTGGGAGGGAATTCCACTTGCAGCACATGGAATGTTCAAACAAATCCATGGGAACTTCAGTCCAATTAGAAATCTACAGTGACTTGATGTATATATGTAGAATTAATCTGTATGCGTGTGTGTGTGTATATATATATATATAAATGTACACACACACATTCATACAGATACACATCATATATATATATATATATATATATATATATATATATATATATATATATTCTAATATTCAACATAGGACCACTAAAGCATGTCATAGAATCGTGGAAGTAGCAATACAACTTTAGGCTGCTTCGTCAACAAATCCAGAGGAGAGAGTCGATACATTTTGTCTTCAGGGATCCTGCATGAAATAAACAAAAGCAAAACTATTTTTGCACAGCTGGAAATGGGTTCTATTCATACAAATAGAAAACATTAAAACATGTAGGAGGAAAAAAAAGTAAAAGTAAAAAGAAAGAGCAACATTAACTATTAAATAGTCATCCAAGAAGATCTAAAAAGAACCATTAGTAAACACCGAGAAAGAAATGAATATTAATTGTAACAAAATTGGTAAATTTTCTATATTTTAAGAGTTTACAGTCCAATCACCCATGAAGGTGAAAATCTTGTATTAATTTACATAATGCTGAAGATTGTAGTAACTAACAATCTTTGGTTCACCCAGCATTATAGATTTAAAACTTGTAACCACTTTACATTAAAACAATAGTTATCCACATGTGAGTAGATGTCACTTGAGAAGATTGGAGCTGTTGTATCTCGAATAATTCCAAGGAAAGATTTGGTTATAAACACTATGTGTAATACCAACTTAAAAAAAAAGAAAGAAAGAAAAAACCCATACCCACCTGTAATACTTACCACTGGCTTAAGACAGATTATGAAGAGTCAGAATGCACCATCCATCAATACAATTTAGCAATAATTCGAGATTACAAGACTATATTACCGAGACATACGTTTAGTAATAAGGGCAAGTTATGATAAAAATAAAACAAAAAAGACAGCACCATTGCAACAGAAGATCTTTAAAAAGTCAAAAGAGCAACAGTTTTATAAGAACTAAAATTGCAGAAAAGAAAAGGAGGCATCCTGAAATGAAAACACAGCTAACAATATGACAAAAATACAGAGAAAATACAACTACTAGAAAAAAAATGTTTCCAAAGCTTGAAATAGCAAATAACTCATTTCAAGTACTAGAGTGTTTATGTTAATGGAAACAAATGAATTGAACAGATTCAAAAATCGTTTTTAGAGCAAACTCCAGTTAAAAATTTTGAATTATTTGAATTAGGATTCCAAGAGGTATATTTTTTTTTTTTTTAATGGTGTTAGCAAAGAAAATGCTGTGTGTGAGAGAGAGAGAGAGAGAGATGACAAACTGAAATAAGGTATTAAAGGGTTGAACTATAAAGATGGTGCATTCTTCCCCAACAACCTGTAGCAGCTGAAAGAGACTCATTCGACAGTGAAGCCATATTTACCTTATTGCTGCCATGGGTTAAAATTAAGCTAATCAGTCATCACTGAGGCTGGGGTTGTTGAGTACCAGGGGCTTGGTTGGCTACTTGTCCTTGCTGCTGTGCTGCTTGTTGCAATATCATGTTAGCATGATAGTGCATTCCTTGTTGCCTGTAATATTCAGCCCAGGCAGCACTGTAATCTGGTTGCCCAGTTTGTGGATTGATGGCTGCAAATTAAAAACTCAAATTAGCTTTAAAAAAAAAAAAAAAAAAAAAATTTAAATAATACTTTTTCTAGCATTATAATAAAATAATGTATTCAATTATACCTTAAATTTATAAGCAGTTGACATGAATATGGTACTTTTCATAGGGATGGCTCTACTATGAGGTTGTATTATACTGATTGATGTAATTTATTCCCAGTTTTTAGCTTCAGATACACACGGGTTGTATTATACACAAGAAAAGACAGTAGCTTTTATTTTTTCATGAATAAATATTTACATACCAGGCTGTTGCTGTTGTTGTGGTTGCTGGGTTGCTTGTTGCTGTGCTTGTTGTGGTGCCACCTGCTGCTGAGGCTGCTGCTGCTGTGGCTGTTGTTGAGGTGGCTGCTGCTGTTGAGGTTGCTGTAACTGTGGCTGCTGAGGAGCTCCAGGACCTGCTGGCTGACCTGGTTGCTGAGGAGCTGCTTGAGCACCCTGCTGAGCTTGGTACTGACCATACTGACCATATTGGGCATAATACTGAGCATAATAAGCAGCCCATGCAGCTGCATTGGCATCCTGGGCTTGTTTATCTGAAAAAGAAACTGCAACTTAAATTTATGGTTTGAAACCCGAGAAAAGACGAACAAACATTTCATTTCAAATTTAGTATGATTAAATAAGATATATATATTTTCAACAGCCAAAAAATATGTTCTGTCCCTTAAATAGTCAATACCGAGCTAGCATACATTCTGATAACAATGTCAAATTTTAGACTTTAGGCAATGTAAATACATGAACAGCACTGCTCTCTCCAAACATTTCTGACAATTGAAGAATAGTGCTAATACACTCATTACATGGAATGTTGTAGAAAGACAAATCTTATAATGGGAAAGGCGATAGATGTAACTTAAACCTTGTAGAAAAATTAGTTATCTTAAAGCACTTAAATAACCCTAGCTTATTAAACAAGAGAAATAAATTGATAGTCTCACATGTAGGCATAAAAATAAATATTTGTTGAAATATCTTGATTCAGATTAATTTTTTTTTTTACTGTAAATTATAACTTTTCCCCTTTTTCTTATTTTATTCTGTTCACCTATCTTATGTAGAGGACATTCAATTTTTTTTTCATGGTTTCTAGGTTCATTATATATATATATATATATATATATAAAAAAAATTTAAAAGAAAAACAGACCACTTTAAGGTACCATTATAATAATTTATTTCACCAGAGCCCTTTTAAAGGACGCCGGATCATCAGATAGCATGTCCAAAAATGAAATTAAAATTGATGGGTAGTGTAAGAGAGTGTAAAAGGAGTAGTTAAAGAGACATGGTAGAGTATAGGGAGGGATTAATTTCATATCTCTCTCAAGCATACTTTGTATTGGGGGAGGAGGAGTGATTTCATCCTTCTTGGGATTACCCATACGGATTACCATGTTCTTCATAATATTATATATATATATATATATATATATATATAGTAACCCCCACTTAATGTATGATATAAAATTATTATCCCAACTTTAAATAATTTTTTTTTATATATATATATATATATATATAGTTTTAGGTAGGTCTATTTTTAATAAATACCATTAATCCCCGTTTATTTTAAACTAGCAGCATGGCCCAGTGTTGCCCGTGCTTGATTCAAAAATCGTACAACTCATACAGTAATCTCACTTGACTTAAAATATTTCTGCCCTTCCTTGCCTTTAAAGGAGTGCCCTTTGCCGTGCTGATGTTGCTACATGCCTTACTTCTTGCCTATCTCACACTGCAAATTTTTTTCTAAGCTCTATACTAAACATTTTATGAAAAAAGAACTAAACAAAATGAACACAAAACGATCAGCTTTAAAAAATGACTCGTAACTGGAAAAACCGAATGAAAAAAGAATGTTAAATACTTTTTCACACCCAACCCAGTTCTGCGGAATCAGTATCAACGTTGAGTTTAAGCATGCAAATGAGCCCATTGGAGTAAAGTGCCATGCAGATTTAAATTTTTCCCTACTTGTGACGAATGCAGCTATCGATTTTTTTTGGATGCTAGTTAACCTTCGTGCCAACTGTTGGCCCTCACGCTGGCCAATAGAATCTTCTTGCCTATTCATGGCAGCCAGCTATTGGCTCTCATTCTGGCCAGTACAAAATGGCTGCAAACTACGTGAAAACTGCCGTAGAAGCATGGAGGAAAAAAAAAAAAAAAAAAAAAAAAAAAAAAAAAAAATCGATTATTTCCATTATCGATGGGAGTTGGGAAATGCAAAGTCGGTCTTGGCCTTCCCACTAACTTGGAGCATGTGCATGTAAATTTTGGTGCAAATCTGTCGAAAATTGCGGCCATGCATCCGTTACACACACAAACACACACATCCTGCCTTTTATAGAGATATAAAATAATCTAATGCATCATGTCTGGTTCAGCACAGTACAAATGATTAAATTAACTATCAAATTGAGCAAATCTTTTGATAAGGCATGCAGTGTTGCGAGTGAGGTAAGGGACAGTTATCTTTTGAAGCAAATATGTATTAAACTCTTTGAAAATGCAACTAGCACACATCAATGAAGATTTTCACTTTTGTACATTCACTGTATAGTCAAACATTTATTAAACAAATGGTAACAACCAAACAGTTGTATTAAGCATGAGCATAGATTATAACTGGATTTTGTCATAATTCAACTGTGTTCTGTATAACACTTATAATCTATCAAAATAACTTTACTGGAATGTGTTAATCTGTGCATATTTTCCAAGAGTTTTCTTAAGTGATATTTCTCTTGCATAATACTGTGAAATATTTAAAAATATAACAAAAGAGTAATTCTTCTATGCATTGTATCCCTTTGGAACGTTGTTGATCTTGACGATCTACAATTTCTTGTCCTTTACTAGTCTCGATAAATTTTATCATCATCTCTCCTAAACCTTGTTCCATCATAGCTAGTAAGGTTATGCTGTTTTGCCATCCCTCTTGACTTAAATCTGTTCTGAGTATCCAATTTTCCAAATCCTCTTCCCTAATTATGTGCCCTAGAAATTTCAACCATTTCTTCCTGATAAGTACAAATGTGCTTTTTGTTTCCATTTTCACTAAAACTGTCTTTGCTCACATTTGGTCCATGGTATTCTTAGCACCCTTCTGTAGAATCACATTTCTGTTGCTTCAAGTCTTCTTCATTTTTTAAGATATTTCCAGCATTCACTGCTATATAGGAGGAATGATATTACATAATCATTCAATACTTGTTCTTAACAAAATTTTCCTATTTCTAAATACTTTGCTTAGTTTTTGGAAGGCACTTCTTGCTATCCCAATGCACCTGGATTTCATTGTTACACTTTCCATCCTTTGTTAAATCTCCTTCTAGATATTTAACTTTTTATACTTGACTGATGTTGGTAACTCCAATTTGTATGTTGGGCTGTTCCATTTGCTAACAACGATGCATTCTCTTCTTGCAATTGACGTTTAGTTGTTCTTGCTTTCCTTCCCTACCTTCTGTAGGAGCTCTAGTAGTTTCTTTTCTTTGTCTGCTATCAACACCGTGTCATCTGCATATTTATGTTATGTTAAGATTGTGGCTACTAATAAAGAATCCTGGTAAAACCCAATTCTCTCTGAATCGCCTGTGTAGGTTGAATAAATCTGGTTAGAATACACATCCTTGTCTTACACCTGTGTGTGTGTGTGTGTGTGTGTATATATATATATATATATATACACACACACAAAAAGATTTTTAACACTAGTACTACAAAATTAATCAATACATATTGAATTATTAGTTATTTCCATCGCAATGTCACATGCCAATTATTCAATCACAATAGATTATTATTAGTAGCAATGAGTGAGGATTGAACTCATGATCAACCTGACTAATTTGCTATCTATTACACTAATGTTGAGATGCTCATCATTTAAACAATTTGGCAGATTCATGTTTTTTTTTTTTTTTTTTAAATAATTAAATTTGCTATTTGTTATCTCTACGTGCCATTATCTTTTAAAAAACTTACTTGGGTCAGCTTGTTGCTGTTGTTGTGGGTAACCTTGTTGGTATGCTGCACCCCAAGCTTGGCCTCCATATGCTTGCTGACCAGCAGGTGGTTGTTGACTTGATTATAGGAAAAATAAAAATAAAATGTTAAACAAAATATAAATCAAAGATCTTAATAACTAAATTTTCAATTTTGACAAAATGGAATGAAATAAATGATGGATCAATTACCTTGGTTGAGTATACTGACCATATTGGTCATATCCAGCACCAGCTGGAGGCACACCAGGAGCATTAGGGCCAGATGGAGCTCCAGGTGCATGGGGACCAGGGCCTCCAGGAGCAGGTGGAGCTCCAGGTGCACCTGGAGCACCAGGTCCTGCTGGACCATTAGGGCCAGGGGAGGAGGTTGCTGGAAGGAAAAAAAAAAAAAAAAAAAAAAAAAGGTTAATTTTTCTATACTCAGCTCATTAATTTTAAGTCTTCAAATGATAATTACAAACTTTGTTTCACATTGAATAATAATAAAAAAAAAAATTTAAGAAATTTTGAATCCCTTCCAATGCAAACATTGATTTTGCACAAAATATAATAGGAGATTAAGAGGAAAACAAAATTGTACAATGAAGAAATGAAATCTGCATAGACAGTCAAAAATTGTTATAGCTGTCTTTTTAGATACTCATGAGAATAACATCAAGCTAGCCAATCTAGGTATTAAAGACTGGCAACTGGTGAAAATGTTTTTCCTCAAATAACACAACAAAACTGGTACTAATCTAATGCATCAACTATCTGAGAATTCATAAAATGAAGTCTTTATACTTACCAAACCAGCCTTTTCACAAATCATTTGAATAGCATGTTGAATTTGTTGTGGACTACCTCTAACATTAAATATTTTCTCATTTGGATTAGGAGGAGGCTGACGTTGGAGTTCTACATGTGCACCTGATTGACGAATGATTTCCCTAATAGTTTCACCACCTAAAATATTATAAATAAATATTAAACTAGGTAAACTGAAACAAATATTGCAAAATTAAAAATCAATTTCAGAATATCAAGTTACCTTTGCCAATAACTAAACCACATTTATCAGCTGGTACAGCATATGTAGTCTCATCTTGAAAGTTTGGATCAAAGCCCCGTCCCATTCCTCTGCCTCCAGGACCATTTGGGCCAGGAGGACCTGACATGTTGAAAGGACCACCACCTCGCCCACGCCCTCTACCACGGCCCATAGGAAAACCTCTGCCCATTCCTCCTTGCTTCTGAAACAAAGTGCTTGGAATTAAAGACAGTATATACAAACATAAAACAATGTAAAGCACTAAGTTAAAGGAAGGCTTATGCAAACTTAGCAACAAGAGGAGGAAAAAAATAAATAAATAAAAAACGATTTTCACGTATTTCATGGCTTTTTGAAAAGGCCAATATGACAGTTAAAATACTTCTCAAAACTAACTGAACAAATTTCTATAATCAATTTACTTATTATAAAAATTCCTGTTCTGGTATTTCATAGAAACTGTTATATGTACTGAGGCTGCAGTCAATATAATACAAAGGTAGTCTTTCATACCAAACTTATACAATGTCACCTTAAAAGAGTGGGGAGTGGGAAGGCCATTATAGGCAATGCATATAGATGAGCGGGCGAGTCTGTTCCACAGCAAATGAAGTCAAAATAAAAGACTGTAAAGTGGAAGCTGCACATCTGAATTTTATCAAAATACCAATTTACCTGTAAAATGAATAGCAAACACATGGGGCACAAAGAAGTTCACAACTCAAGAGTATCTTGGAACCCCTTGGTTGGTCCAAGAGGTTTTTGGAGAGAGAGATAGAGAGATAGAGAATGACTGAGAGGGTGGAATGCAAATTGGTATGCAGAGGTAGTACACTATAAATTTAATAGAGTATTCAGTTTTTCAGTGTATCAAAATTGTGCAAGTTTGTGTTGTCAAAATCTACGCCGGTTCATCAAAGAATCACGACCATGAAGCTGTATTTTGGTACAACATTTCATCTAGAACAGGACAAGCAGAGAAAGCAGTATTTAAGTATGGATACAGACATCCCTGTACTGAACCAATGAGTTAGGTAGACCAGCATCTGTACAAATTGGAAGATAAGGTTTGAGTAAAAACCTTCAGTGTACACTGTACATATCAACTGAGACAGGAAGGGTAACAAACATTTATTCCAAGAATAACATTTTTGGAATAGTGTGGTCCATCATTTTTTGATTATTCATAGGATCATCAACTTACTGGATGATAAAGAGACTGATGACGACAAGCACTGTAGCAATAAAAATCATGCAATGTCCGCTTAAGGCAATCAGTAACTAGGAGATGGCATAATTTCTATTAAGCTGGATTAATTGTAAAGAGAAAGGTAGGCTTTATTTTAATTTTCACTTCTTTTCTGTAAATTCTCTCAGCTTGTGCAATAATTTTTAGTTCACAAGTGTGTGTATGATTTTAACAACAGATCTACACAAGTGTTCAGAAAAAAATAATTCTAGTAGTTTCATCAGTTAGAGAAAGCTCTAAATAAACAGCTTTTTCAATGAACTTTTTAACACATCCCTTAAATACAAGTCAATGACAACCTAATCACTTGATGAGAATAGATTCAGTAGTGATTTAATAAAAGTAGATAAACCAGAATTAGAACATGGCTTCTCAGCTCCACTTTTTGTCCATAACCATTACACTAATTGTATCTATTAAATTTATACATCCCCCTCGTCAAATTCACCCCCTATGTAAGGTAATAAAGCCACTAGGACTAAGAAAAAGGCCAGCATAATTATCACTGTCATTAATGGCAATACAAACTAGTAAGAATGTGACTGAGTAATATGCCCTCAAGGATACCCAGCAGAAACACACGCAGGAATAGCTACCCATGCACGACATGGCACTACAAATACCCTGATATCATGTGACTTTATCAGAGCAGCCTTTCTAAGAGTTCGAGTTCCTTACTACCAGACAGATGCAGCAGCCAGCGAACTACCAACCCAGTACCCTCATAATGAAAAGTCGCAGCCACTGATTAGATTACCAAAATGTTAAGACAGTTAAATCATTATGGTCTTCAAAGTAAATCATTTCCTAAACAGAGAACAAGGGATAATCCTCTACTCCTGTTCAGTAAACATGGAAGGAATGTGAGAATTTTACTTAGTTTGTGGGATGGTGATCACCAGAAAAGGACAGAATTGCAGGAGACCAGTGAGTGGTAAGTCCATGACAATGCACTTGCCAATTCAGTGCAGCAGTTTTTGGCAAACCACATCCCCAGGTTTGACAACCATCATATTCCCCAGATCTCATGCCTTGTGACTTTTCACACTTTCCAAAACATCAAGTCCCACTTAAAATGAACAAGTTTTCAAGACATCAATGAAATCCAAAAGAATCTGACGAGGCAGTTGCATGCTATCCTTATAAAAAAAAAAAAGTTCCAGGAATGCTTCCATCAATGGGAATTACGCTGGATAAAGAGTGTGGCATCAGCCAGGAACTACTTCAAAGGAGATTAAATGCTGAACTGACAGTGTTGCAGAACACCAGGAATATTGAGGAAAGTGAAAACTTCTACTCGGAACTGCTTTAATTACAAGTAAAAATAAGTGCAGTATGAAATGATAAATAAAAGGAAACACACTTACGTTAGCATTACCCAAAATTTCACTGATCATGCTAGCAGCTTGTTGTACTTTATCTGGAAGACCCATTATAGAAAGTAGACGTTCAGGTGATGTACCATCATCTGAAAAAACATGACAAGAATAAATAGGGGGAATAAAATGATATCTAATCATTTTTATTGTAATATACAATTTTATGAAATGAAATTTAATTCAGCAGGTTTTTAAGCTTATTTCACAACTGTTAATTCATAAAGACTATTTGAAGACATTTTACCTGGCTTGAACTGTAACCGAACTCCAGTTTCATTTTGTACTTTCTTAATGGTCTCTCCACCTTTACCAATTACAATACCGACAGCAGGCCGAGGAACTGGAAACTAGAGAGAATGTTTCTGTCAACAGAACTTCAATATGCTTAATAACTAAATGCAAATAATTTAGTTGTAGAAGTGGTGTAAAAAAAAAGGGGGGGGGGTCTGAAACCTCCCCACACCATTTCATTGCAGAACTGAATGAAGACTGATATTTATGTTCTTAGCTCCAGTTTAAAAATCGTAGGTATCCCTTTACAGGACATCTTGAAGTATGGAGATAGTAAATGTGTAGAAGTAATATAATTAACAAATAGTTATTGAGTATGTTTTAAATATGCACATAAAAAAAAAATTATGGATTTATTAAGAATAAATGATTTTAAAAAAAATCCTTATTTCATGCACAGATTTGAGAAAATTTATTCAAATTTACACTGTATATAAAATATACTTACATCCATGCCACCACCTGAGGGAGAACTCCTCATACCACCACTATTATTACCAGTCCCAACGGATGACCCATATTCATTAGTCTTGTTGAGAAAAGAAAAAAGTTTTTCTTAATTATATCAAAGCAATGTTGAATGCAGTAAAATCTCAAAAATCATTGAATCCAGTAAAATTATTTCAGCACAATTTAAACCCTCACATGGAGGAAAAAAGAAAAGAAAAAAGCATGAATCTACCCACTTGCTCCAAATAGATTGCAATTTCAAATTTATACAAAAAAAAAAAAAAAAAAAAAAAAATTACCACTGTGCCATCTTTATCTGCTAATAATTGCATTACCATATCCCTGGCCCTCTGAAAAGAGAAAACCGAATTAAAGATCCAATTGACATTGAAAGTTATTTCCAAGAAAAGAGACAAAAGAAGGCCAAAGAAAAAGGTTGTAAAGATCATTCTGTTCTTAAAGGTAACACAAAGTAAAAAGCAATTGAATTGTCAGCTTCTAATTCTTTCCGAGTTCACACCAGCTTTATGGGATTTAGTCAGTCTAACTAGTCAAGGGGTATTTTTCTTGTTCTGAATTGCCAATCAATACTGTTTTTGAATCCCATACAATGTCCATTCCTATGGCAACTATTAAGAAAATAGAATAGACAACATATCACTATCCTGCCCATGCTAGTGTAGGAGAGAGAAAAAAAAAGGCTGCAAATTGAAACTGGCAATACAATCATGGATGCCATCATTATTGCAGATGTAACCAAGAAAACGTAGCAATTAGGCAACATAAGCATTTGTTTAGAAAACATCAGTAGGTATCATTTAGGGCTATTTTAAACTGTGAAATGTCCATGAAGATACTGCTGACTCTTGTGATTTTAAGCAGCATTTTTAGTTTATGTTAAGTTCCAATGTCACTACATCTTGAGCAACTAAAGGCTTCATTCTTTTTTGTTTTTGGGATCTTTAATGCACAAGTTCTTTTCATTTACATAATTTTCTAGTTCCTCACTAAAATATGCTTAAAAGAATTTTCATCTACTTGACAACAAAGATACTCACAGCACAACGGGATGTTTCTCCTGTGATACGTAAAGGCTTATCATGAGCACTCGGGAGGTTGCTATCTTGAATCATAACCATTTTAACATTTGCTTGATCCTGATAAAGAAAGAAAAAAAAAAACATTTAGATTGTGTAATACATTTTAGAGTGAATAATTAGGGATTATGCAAGAATTAACTCACCTGCAACTGGCGTATTGTTTCACCTCCTTTACCAATGATTAGACCAACTTTATTGCCAGGAATCAACATTTCAATCACATTTTGGCCTTCTGGAACAGGAGTTTGGTCCAAGGGTAAAGTTGCACTTTGAGCTTTGTCTACTATTTTTTGCATTTGTTGTTTACAGGCACTGAAAAGAAATAATAATTTCCAAATTAATAGTCAAATATGGAATCATGGAAAGTGAAAATATTTATATTTTCATATATATATATATATATATATATATATATATATATATATATAGATAGATAGATAGATAGAGTTAAATTACCTTATTGCAGCTGGTGCACCCATTAAAGAACAGACACGATCTGGCAGTCCTCCACTATCTGCAAACAAAAGGAATTATCAAGTTAGAAATTTGAGAGTTTATGAAAAGATAATCAATACAATATATAATATCAACATGTAATGATCAGCTGAAAAATCAAGTTTTTCAAAACATAGGTGCTTCCTAAGAGTCCCCAGAATTTCAGGACAGTTTAAAATAAGGGTTTTCAAACCTTCAGAATTTGTCCATTTACAAAATGTCTACAAATGAAAATAAAAATTAGATTTGTGAAAGTAAAACAAGAAAAACAAGGCAAGTTAGAAGTTAAAAAGAAACAAACCAAATATGATAGCTGGGTAAAAGATCTGCAATCAGCAAACTGACACAAAATAGCAGGCAACAAATATGAATAGCAGACATATTTCCAAGTTAGATTTAGAAATATATCGGCAATTAAACATTGAAAGAGAGAAGTTAATTTTAAAGCTAAAATTAACCAATTAGAAAATGATTACATGTAAAAAAAAAAAAAAAAAAAAAAAACTGATGCACATTAACATCGATTAGCATAAATCAGACATTTTTGTTCAAAGAGAATGCTGAAGTGAACAATATATATATATATATTTAATAGTAAACATTGGTATTCTAACATTACAATAGAGGAAAAAAGGGGGGGGAGGAGAGAGAGAGAAGAGAAAAACAGCAACTAAAATCATCAGCAAAAAAAAAGAGAGAGAGAGAGAGAGAGAGAAAAAAAAAAGGAAAGAGTGAGGCAACCCACAAAGTGCTGCTATTATAACAGATGTCATGCTCTGAGACAAGCTTGAGAGATGAGTTTCTCAATAAAAAAAAAAAAAAAAAAAAAAAAAAAAAAAAAAGAAGACAGTTTCAAGAGATATTTTATTGTTTTTAGTATGAAGTTGAACAAGGCCTTTAAAAGTCAATTTAATGAAACTTTCCTTTTCATTTTTTTTTTTTTTTTTTTTTAAATAATTGAAGTATGACCCAAAATGAACATTTTGTTATTCGGAGCAACAGAGAATTAAATCAACTTTGAAAGCAGTAATTCACAAGGACAAAATATAGGTTTAAGATCAAAGAAAAAGGCCAGTCAACATTTTGATTAAGAACTATATTTATGCAGAAAATACTAAAACTGAAATTCTTCTAGATGAGCACACATTTTCCCAAATTTGATTTTACTTAGCTCATGGTAAATGAAGAAACAGATATATATATATATATATATATATATATATATAAAATAAATAAATAAAAAATATAAAGAGAGCAACAAGAAGGGTATCTACATAATATGTGGAGATGGTCGCTGAAAAATTCTCGGCCCATGAAACTGATCCAATATCAGATTTTCTTTTAAAGTCAACCCAAAACTTTTCAGCACCCTCTCATTGCACCCCCAACCCAATATAAGACTTGATGTTATCAAATGAAGTTTGTGAAGACTAAAATGTAAATTTTGCTTGATCAAATGTGAACTTTAATTTACACTTACAAAAATATTTTGGAAACAATTTGTTTACAAGTTTGAAAAGCAATGGCACAGTTAAATCTTTCATTGAGGTAATCTTGTGTGTATGTGTGTGTGTATATATATTTTATTAATTACATGTACATACATCAATGGATTTTTAGATTTACTGAAAAAGAAAAAAATCTACTCAGGGGGAAGGCAATCAGTTGGTGTCAACTCAGAGATAAAATGCTAGACATCTTTACCACACACAGATTAATCCTGTTGAAAGAAAGGTGAAGAAAGGTTTGTAATGATTAATATAAATTTTACATGACTATAAATTTAAATACTTTTTTATATTAGATATGTTAAACTTAATTTAAATTCATAGGGTTGAAAAAAAAAAAAAAAAAAGAACTTCCAATATTTGTCAAATTGGAATTTGAATGGACAAATATCAAAGATTTCTCTTCACCTTTCTTTCAATAAAGATCTATTTCAACAGGATTTGAAAAGGTTTACAAGTTGTTAAAAAAGGAAGGCATTATTCTCTAAACCTGATAGCTTGAAAATTAATAGTCACTATGTTAATCTATGTTTTTTGTTTTTGTACAAATTCTGAAAAGATTCTATATTTTGATTAATAAGTTAAAAAGAACCAAAGCCCATCAGTGGCAAGCACCATTCATGTCAATAAGTAACCCATGGATTACTGACAACACCAATTTTAATGCCTTCCTGTAGGATGCTTAAGGGAAACTGGCATGGTCAAGAGCTAAAAACAAACCTACCTGGTGCTATTTGAATTTTACAACCCGTTTCTGCTTGTAACCTCGATATCTGTTCACCACCTTTTCCTATAACTAAAAAAGGATATGGAATGGTTTTAAGAATAATTCTACCTTGCTCCAGTAATTTTCTAATAACTTGTTTTTGTTTATTTATTTATTTTTTTTTTTTTGTAAAAGGATGATTATTTCATCCAATTAAAAAAATGTTCTGCAATTTGTTTAATATTAATATCTAATATAATAGTTAGCCAATTAGTAACGACAGCCGAGAAATACAATTGTTGGATACTAAACAAATGTAAAAATACTGAACTTAAATGTTCAATGAAGAAAGAAAAAAAAAAAAAAAAAAAAAAATTAAAAACTTATGCCTCAAAAGAGACAAGTGATATATATATATATATTTTTTTTTTTTTTGGGAAGTCTTGACAAAGTATCTTGCAAACTTAAGCATCCCAAATCTTTATAGTAGTAACTTTTAATGAAGCTTTCAACTAAAAATAACTTTTTGAATTGAAAAGCAAGCAAAATATATTCAATATTAATTTAAAAAAAAATTCTGAATGCTTAGTTAGATGTTTGACAGTAATTCTAATCTTTAGCTAAAAATGAATTTCTAGTTTGAATATCTATAAAACAAAATGTTTTAAATTTAGTTTTATTTAACTAAGATTAAACTTTAAAATTTTTCATATAGAAAAGGCGAGATAACATTTGCCAAATTTTAGAACTTACAAATCAAAATATCAATTATTCTACTAAAATGAACATAATTCATGTTCATAAAGCAAAACATTTGAATGATTAAAAATAAAAACAAATAGGGTGAACTGATTTAACAATCACTGCCTATGAAAAACCTTTCATCAGTTATAGAGAAAAAAAAAAACCTCAAAGTGGTCATAATAGTAAAATGTTTCTAAACAGGAAATACAGTATCTTAATGAGGTAAACTGAAACATTAGCAATCTTTTATACTAATCATGTACGTTTCAACAAAATAGCTTAAAAAAAAAAAACAAAAGTCGTAGTGAATTGGTCAAAAGGCTAATGCAAATTTCAAATATAAGCTTCATGTTTGAAAATATGTGAACTTCAAACAATATTGACATTTTCAAGTTATGAAGTAAAGAATTATTTCTATTTACATTTAAATTCAGAAATTAAATTTAAAAGATAACATCTTGAAAAGTTTATAAGTCATTATATATATATATATATATATTTAAATGTAAGAGATAGAAAAAAAATTCAAAATGTCAACTAAGTAAACAATTTTGGATATCAAATGGAAAACCAGTTGCATTCCATTAATACTTGTTGATAAAATCATTCAATCAAGAAAAGCCTTCATACACAATTTTTTCAAAATATGGCAAATACGATAGAATTCTTTCAGATATGGCATTTGAAATTTATGAACAATGGTTTTTAAAAGCTCTCTTGTTCAATGACCTCCACAACTGCACACACCTTAAAAGTATCAAAATTTTGTTACGTTGTCGAAACAAGAAATTGGTACATCATTCAGCCTAACATGATGCACCTTACATCTCTTTGGCATTTTCAGGAGGGGATTTTTAAAAGTGCTTACTCAAACCAACAAGTTTGTCAGGCACTTTGTATTCTGAGGAGACCATCTCCATAGTTGAATGGGGTCCAGGGCTAGTGACTGGAGAAGACTTCTGCAAATTAGGGATTGGAAACACCCAACTGTTGATTGAGGGCGTGCAGCGGCTTCTTGAGCTGCTTGTGCTGCCTGTGTAGCTTGATTTGACCTGAAAATAAAAAAGCTCTCCAAATTTAGTATCCAAGAAAGAGTTCTAAAACACAAGAATCCTGATACAAAGATATTTTTAAACAGTGCAAAAACATAGAATTGTATAACTATAAAAGCCAACAACTAAGATCTTCCAAGTATATAAAGTTTGAAGACTATATTTTGTAAGATATAAGTATTCTTCACAAGCTCTCATATTAAAGCAGCTAATATCTAGCACACACACACAAAATTCAAACATCCCTATGTTTTATAATCTTAATGTAAATTGTAATATTTAATTTTACAACTACCAAGGGAGGAAAGAAAAAAAAAAAAAAAAAAAATTCACTCTCGGAGAGTAATAACTCACCTTTGTTGCTCAGCCATAGCACGTAGTTGGGCTCCAATGGCTGAAGTAAAAGAAAATCATGGTAAAAAAAACTAAGTTTGAAACCCAAAACAAATGAGCTGTGTAAGCCAGGACCGAAACCAGTTCACTAAAAATATAAAAATTCAAAGAATTTTATCTGCTATAAACTAGCTTAGGGGAAAAAAAAAAAAAAAAAAAAAAAAAGTTGGTGATTGTTGATATGGTCTTAATTTTATATGAAAGCTAGATTAAAATTCAATATTAAGTAGCATTTAATAACGCTACTTGGTTAAATTGTCTAAAAATAAAAACATCTTAAATGGAATTTTACTAATTTGAAGTTTACCTGTAAAATGTAACTAAGTATGTATACAAATGTAGATTATCTAAAAGAAACAGATTTAAGTGATGTTATACAATACCTTTTGAATATATTTTAAATTACAATTAGGTTTGGGTTCATGAATAAAAGTGAAAAAAAAAAAAAAAAAAAAAAAAAAAAAGGAAAAAAAAAAAAAAAAAAGGAAAAAAAAAAAAAAAAAAAAAAAGAAAAAAAAAAAAAAAAAAAAGAAAAAAAATAGGAAAAAAAGAAAAGAAACATTTGCATTCAAAGTCAGCATTTAAAAAACATCTCCACTTGAACTTTGCATTTAGAGAATTTAGCATTAAAAAGTTGGCATTTATGACAGTACAGTTTAAATAACAAAATTATTAATATATTTACCTGTCATAAATATATCTGTGTAGGAAACAAATCAGGGATGCAAATGTTTCCCTTTGTCAGCACCAGCAGCTATCAGGATCTAGTTTGACTATTCACTAATAAGTATGTATTCCTGCAGCACTTGACTCCAGCTGGAGAAAGGGAATGCAGTACATGTTGTCCAGGCAGCAGCAATATGCCTGCCCATCTGCGAAACTGTTTTGGTAAGTAAAGTTCTGTCTACCTTGTCAACTTTCACATTAAAAACGCCCCTCAATCCAGCAAGATTTTGATTTTAATAATGCAACAGCATAAGCATAGAAACTATTTATGAGGATAAAAATACTTTGCAACGGCTTAAGAGTATAACTGCAGGAGCAGAATGGATTCATTAAAAATAAATGAAAAATAAAAGTTTCCATCACTGAATCATTATACAAACACGCACACACACACTCACACTGGCCTGTGAGCAATCAGAATGCAGAGAGAAAAAATTCAACAAAACCAGTAGATAGGGATGTTATTCAACACCAAACACACAAAAAAAAATTAATTGAAAATAAAAGGAAAGTTAAATAATGATCATATTAAGGATAAATAGATGGCAAACATGGACCATGTAAGAAAGTATCTTAATTATGTCAGCTGATCATTGCATTGATATCCATGCAAAATTGTGATAAAACAGACTGTGTGCAAGACACCAGTCACAGCTAGCCAGCAATATATAAAAAGGCATTCAGTAAATTCAAACTACACTTCTACAATGCCAATTTATCAGGCTTTAAATATTATTTAAGTTAATTTTCATAAGTTCTTCACAAAACTTACCTTTTTATTAATGTCTTCAACAAAAAATAGTAGTAAACAATGGGACCAAAGTAAGTCACAATAAAATACTCAAATACATTTTGATGTATAGACAGTTTTAGTTTCAACAGGTTTCTTCCAAGTTTAAAACATTTCCATTATTGCATAATGGAAAAAAAATACATATTCAAAAGGACCTCAAGACATTTGACTATGATGTTTGACAGTAGTCAATTATGAAAACTTTTTTAAAATGTGAATTTTATCAGGAGGTAGCACATTTTAAGTGCAAAAAATGAGCATTATAAATTCAATATGTAGAATTGTGCAAGAATTATTCTGATGCCCTTCTATAACTGGTGAGTGATGAGTATAAACAGGTTATACAAAGTTACCCACCGCTCACTGACTATAATAGCATTCAGCTAATAACTTACGATCATTTATTGCAGCAGGAGTCTTCTTCACATCAGGCTCACCTGAAAGGGCAAAAAAAATAAAAAAATAAAATAAATAAAAAGCAATTTTCATCAACTATTATTAGAGTAATATATACGAGAAAATTTAAGGAAAATATACATTTCTACTAAAGAAATATTTTCACAATACTCATTGAAATTTTGGATTTTTAAATATTCATAAAAATCAGATATAGGAAATAGCATTTTATGAGTTTTAGTTCTGAATTAATATCCTAAGCATTCTTTTTGATGGTGCTGGAAGTTTGGAAAATTAAAGCTGATATGTAACAGACAAGGAATGTCAACTAAGCTTTTTTGGAAAGCCTCTCCTGATATTATAGATTACATATAAAAAATTTTGGAGGCTCTACATATCAAAATACAGCAATCTACCATTAATAAATTTTTTTCAATCTTAGTGAGCACATGTTAAAATGCTTTATAGGGTAATTTTAGTAAAATTACATAATGTATTCCACCATAATAGCATGTGGACCCATTACAAATTGTCCATTAGCTATCTCTTGATTTTTACATTTTTTTTTTTTTTTTTAGGAAAATGACCAAAAGTACATAAAACTACACAACCTCAGCAAGTTCATCCACAAGTTTTCACTTTATATCAAATGACCCATTTGACAAAAAAAAAAAAGAAAAAAGTTTTTTTTTTTTTTTTTTTGTTCATTCAATTTAATAAAGTCTTTTTAAAGTTATATAAAACTCGACTCTTTCACACACACAAGGGTGGAATTGAAAAGTTTTTAACCCACTAGTTACCAAAATCTGACCACAACACAACTTTGGGAGAATACCGTTTTAACAACCTCCCTATATTTACAGTTAAGTTACTGACAGGATAATTTTAAACAGGTTATCCTAATACATAAATTTGGGTTAAGAGAAAAAAAATTTAAAATACAAAAAACAAAACATTCCAACAATTCACAAGTTTCATACTTTTTTTTTTTTGCAAATGTCTTTTTGTTTGAAAAAGATTTAAGAGAATGTAGTTTCTGTCTTCATAAAAACTAGTCTAATTACTCTGAATTGGGTGGTAATCAGATGCAATAATATCCAGTGAATATTGAGGGTTTAAAAAATAAATTTATCTGGACAGAAACTAAAAGTTTATCAATTTTGAAATTGGCTAATACTAAAATAATCACAAAACAATATGAAGAAGCTCATTTCTGCCAATTTCTTAATGTACAAAATATTTTTTCAAATATGAGAAAAATCTAGCATTTAAAAACTTCATTAAGTAATGATGAAAGTGTCTTATTCCAGTTCTTCATTACATATATAGAAAAGTTTAAGCTATTAAATTTGTGATAACCTATGATAAAATCTAAAATCAGGATTTTTATTGTGCAAAATAAAGTTTACATTTACATAAAATCAGTGTTAATTACATAAGTTATCTGATGATTCACTTAATAATCTAGTGGATTTAAGTGTTGATTTGTAATTTTGCTAACATTGCAAGTTCAATACCTGGGTCAGATAGTAAGACACAGATTCAGTGGAATTAGGCAGGTACTAACTGAGCAATACTAAATATCAAAATGGAAAATCCTTAGACATGGACAACAGAATGAGAACAATCCAACACCATAGATTAAATAACAGATTGGACAGACACTTGAAGACTAGATGGTATGATAACCAAAACATTGTGATAATGAGGAAATGTAAATAACTGCTCATCCTAAAATTTCTTTTATCTACAGATATATGCATATATAAAATGATAGAGAGAAATATTAAAAATAGCACCGAGCACCTGCTTACAGTGGAGCAACTGAATTTCTGATCATACAATCCTGACATTTAAGAAAGCTATAAAATACAACCTTGTGACTAATTTTTGTTACTTTAAGAAACTATTTGTTTTTCAAGCTAAAAATAAATGTAAAAAAATTGTATTCTTTCTCTACTGGATATATTTTCAAATTTTAAATCTCATGATAAAATCCTATTCCTGGAAATCTTAAATGCTCTAATTTTATATTCATATAAATAAAACACACACATAAATTTGGAATTTATGTGTCCAAGAAAAATACTACACAATTTTCGTTAAATAAACTGACAGCAGGATTTTTTTAGTTGCAGCAGAATGTTCTAATGAGAACATGGTAGCCAATACAATGAGATGTATAAATTATTATTTGTTGAGTGAAAAACCGAAAGCCAATTCAAAGTAATAATTTTACTATTTATCTCGTGTTAAATCGAATTTCTTTATACAACAATTATTTAAAACAGTAGATCATGTTATGTCATTATTTTTCCAGATCTATGATTAGTGAAAGAAACTTTGTAAATATCTAGAAAAGCCTTCAAGTCATATTGTAGTTTTAAGCTGAAGATTAATCTAAACAAAATTACCATAGCTTCTTAAAAAAGTACACAAAATACAGTCAGTTATAAATGAAGATTTAAATAATAATAATAAAAATAAAAAAAAAATAAATAAATAAAAATTTACCAAATCCTGGTCCATCTTCATAGGGTCTTTTTATTCCTTGTCCATCCCCAGCAGGTTGATTTATTTTGGCAGCAATCTATAAGATTTTGAAAAGCAAAAAATTCCCATAATTCTATAACAAAAATTTAAAAACTAAAATATTGATTCTTTTTTTTTTCCTTCCGAATTTTTAAATCGGCTCACTAGTAATTTCAAGCACTATATATGACGTTAGAATTTACCACATGAAAAATAAACGTAAAACTAACGCAAATATACTAAAGACTCAACATAAAAAACGTTACGAATGGGGGTGGAGATATATATATATATATATATATATATATATATATATATATATATATATATATATATATATATATATATAAAATTAAAGGATACTGTGTAAAATTTTTTTTTTTAGCTTTTTGAAACCACCGTAAAGAATTTTGTACATGGCAATTTCATTTGGGGCCTTCAGGTTCAGTGATTTCTTTTTAATGAAATCATTTTTAACAGTGCCAAAGATTCTAGTTTGCTCCAAGCAAAATTTTATATCACAAACTCTAAAATTCTAATATTTTCGCTCATAAAAAAAAAACTAAAATGACTTAAATTAAAAATCGTTCCTTTTTTTTTTTTTTTTAAAGTTACATTAAAAGACTAATATTTAAAGAAACAGGCACAGAATGAGTTAATCTGAAAAAAAAGTTGCATTATGATGACATTTGTCGTAAAGCTTAAACATTTCTATATGTAAGAAATAGTTTACTTACATTCTAAGTAAATAAAATAAATCAACAACTGCAAGATTCTAATAATCGCAACGATAGAATTATCGAAATTCTGAATGTAAATTAAAAGTATTGAAGAAAAAAAAAATTTACGCCTCAAAACAATCGTTATACCGGCCTCATGTGGTTAGAAAAAAGAAAATGTAAAATATGAAGTAGGAAAAAAAAAAGACATTGTTTTAACTTTAATAATGAACTGCCGACATAATCAGTTATAAAACTATCTTTTCAAATGCGCGCACACACACACATATATATCAGGTTTAAAGAGACTGGTATAAAAATAAAATATATAAAATTTATACTAGCTATATTTATATACATTTTTGTTTAATAACTAGTTAAACTAGTCTATCGTAATCTAATCAGAATTAGGCAGTATTTTTTTTTAATTTTATTATAAAATCTTTATAGTCGTTGCGTCTCTAACTTGAGATTAAAAAAAAAATAAACCCTTGAAACCGGGCAATATAAGTTTTTGATAATTCAATTTTTTAGACTGAAAAATATCAGTTAAAAAAAAAAAAAAAAAAAAACTATGAAAAAAATGCTTAATAATTATTATTATTATCATCTAGTATGTAACGCGAACACACAGATCAGAACCTATATTTTGAGATGTTTTACTTAGTACTAAGACAGCCCGGCATATTTTAAAAGGAAAAGATGTTTAAAAAGAAAAGGAAAAAAAAGCCTACGCTTAGCAAGGACAACGATGCTAAAGACTAAATGGAGGAAATGGAAGTCGGCGTGTCGGCCATGTACATACGCGTGAAAAGCAGCAATCGGTTTTGTTTCAAATATAAACTATTTCAAGTGTATTTGTTTTCAAAAGGAATCTTAAAAAGGATCTTAAGTCTTGTACAACTTCAATATTTATTGCAAAATCAATTTGATCTAAAATATATAAACAAATTATTTAAAATATTAAACGCGCTACAAAACCACGAGGAAATGATTTTTAAGTTCAAGGCTAGATGCATAATTTAACTGAGAAGAATTGGCAAAAATAAAATCAAGATACGCTTAAAATCAAAGATTGAACTAGAAACGGGATAATTCACTGAATCTTTTAAGTACTATATGTATTTTAAGTAGAGTAAATTCCTCTTAAATTATTTCGTCTGTTATTGATAAGACTTATTCACCGCCATATTGGCGTGCTTAAAATGGTGAACTACGACGAGGGAAAAAAGACCTGGTTTCAAATTCAAGCACCACGATGGATTTGAAACAAAGATGAAAAACATACAAAAACAAAATAAAAATAAAATTAATGAGAGATCGGAGTGTAAAGAAATGATACCAACGAGTAAAACAAAGATAAACCTCAAGGAAAAATGCAACATTTAAGACCATTTTTCTTACCTGTCTTGCTCGAGCGACAGCATCCGCGAACGCAGACTGGCTGGGTTCCATGCTGGCTGTAAATTTTTCCTTTAAAAAAGCTACGTTTTAAGCGAGCGAATATTAAGAGTAAATGTACAAGTTTCTATTCTCCCCTAATATGTTAGTTCGTTAAAATAAGACTAATTTTTTTTTTTTTTTTTTTACTTAACGTGTGGCCACTCGACAGTTGTGAGTAGCACTGCTCGCTTGCTTGTTTCAAGGGAGATCTAACTGACTCTCACTCACTCTCTCTTTACATCTACTACTCCCTCTCTACGATGACGACAGCCGCCACTACGAATATTAACATTAGCCAACTACTATTATTACTTCCAACAAATCTACATAGTACATTCACATTTAATGTGAGATCGCTTATGTACCACTACTATATCAATGGTTTAAATTATCAATAGAGAGTTTAACACTTTTTGACCTTATGACTCTTTATTCCTACTTTACTTACAATTGGTTCCAACGTTCACTTTACAGGGGAAAAAGAAACAGAAATAAATTTAAGAAGTTAGCAAAATGGGGGGGGGGAAAAGAAAACATGAGACGTCACTAGATTCTAGTAAAGAAGTCTCATTTAGACTAGAGAGAATATGACTTAAATTTTTAGTCTTATATGATATCATTATTTGATAATAAAAATCTTTTTTTTCTATATTAGGAAAAACAGATGCTCGTCAACATACTACTAAAAAATTAATCGACTGTTAGATTGTTTCCTTTAAACAAAAAAAAGAAAAAAGAAGCAAACTAGATGAAAATTGGATTTTCATCTACAAATTAAATTTATTTTAATCATGAGCATTGTTGCTTTTCCCCACACAAGATAACAAATATCCTCTAAAAATTATTAAAGCCTGACACAAAACCAAGTTTTTTCTCATTCATACGGTTATATCACATTCAGAGCGCGTGTGTTAATTAATTACTGAAACATATTTCTGTACCATAAAAAGAAGCAATTTTTATCAAATGGCCAGCAAAAAAAAAAAAAAACAAAACTACGAAAAAATATAATCAAAATATAAATTGTCTCATTTTTTTTTTCATAAGAAATGTGATTTTTGCTAAAGTTGTAAATAAACTGTTAAACTTCATAGATATACCCTTTCTTCGTTCTACTTTATGAAGAGAATGCAGGTACTGCACCTAGATCTTTAGACTCAATCGAGTTTGTTTGATGAGTATTTTACTGTCAAAAAAGACATATCTTTCTGTTTGTAGTTGTCTTTCCATTTTTTTTGAGTGTGTAAAATTGTAAAGTAGACAATAATTTAGATGCTAAAAAGCTGATATCTTTTTCTTTATTTTTTCTTACTGAAAACTAAAACATCATGACTATCTTCCATGAGTTAAACAAAGTCTAGCAAAAACCACAATTTTACAATAAGAATCAAACAAAACTAAAAAAAAATTCAAAACATCAATTTAAACAATCGACATTGTTAACAAATGTGAAAAATTTCTAATTGAAATTTATTCAATAATATAAGACAATGTGTGTATAAAATTTATTGGTCATATAACCTGGTCTTCCCCTTTTAGAAATGAGATATTCTGTTGCTATGGTAACAGGAGACACTACTGCTTGATGTCAATAAGTGAAGATGTACAATGGAATTTGTAAGTAATTAAATCAGGCTGCTAATACATAACATTTTTAAATTTCTTTTGGATATAATTTGAATGTTTTAAAAAACAAGAATTATTTTTTAAATGCAAAAATAGAGTTAATTGTATAGATCAAAATTTGAGTTTACTTATACAGATAATATGGCCAAAAATAATAACCAATGCTACTGCAATATTATTTTAATTGGCACCCTAAGTGCAAACTAGTATAAATAATACTTTTGTATACCACTGAAAAAAAAAAAAACAAACAATTTTTTTCAGTGACATGTTAACAGAATCAGTGGAAATGTCACAATTATTGTAATAAAATCGATTTAAGTGATTTTTTTCATTATATGGAGAGTATATTATATTCATATGTTTAAATAAATACTTTTTGCAACAATTTTAAAAACCTATGATAATAAATATGGAAGTGTGATCTATCTGTACATAAAGTAGAATTTTATTTATCATAATGTGTGTATATCTGTTGTGACACAAAATATGTTTTTTTTCATATCTAAGAGTGTATACTGGACAGACCTTTCATATTTGCATACATATCTGCACAAAATGGTATAATTTACATATTGCTCATCTTAGGTACTAAAAATTACAAAAGTGCAACAGTGATTACAAAAATGTATAAAAATTCTTAAGCTATTGTAATAATTTAAGTATTTTTTAGAAGTTTTAATTTTGGTTTTAATTACAAGAAAATAGCACAAGGTTGGTTGTAAAATAAAAAAAAAAATTGCTTCTGCATACTTAAATTAAATCTGTAATTAAAACTACTGAAAAAATAAAGTAGCTCTTATAGAAACATAAGATTCAATGAAAAATATTTCTTTTTATTGAAATTATATTGAAAAATACATTTGTTTCCATTGTTACGACATAACTCAGTTCAAGGGTTGTGTGGGTATATTGAGTCATCTTTCCTTACTTATATGTAAGGAAAGCTACATAAAATTTACAACTGTTTCAGAGAACAGCAAAAGTATGGATAAAAAAAAATATTACTGCGAATGGCAAAAATATATTCCCAACATTAAAACATTGTCATATGATTGGCAGCAATAGTTTACAAAATATTTTTAACTTTGTTATATTCTTAATTTCTCAAATTCCATTCAGCAGGATTCAAATCTAGTGACTTACTGATATTTACTAAGATTGACATAGCACATGGCCAGAACACTAAACCAGTAGTAGTAGTGATCTGTAAGATTATTTAAATATAAAATAATGGTGTACTTAGACATTGGGATATAAATAATAAAAAAATTCATACAGGAATGAATTTAACGCAAGAATATTTATGTATCCTATATGGAATTATTAAATTCAGTAAAAGGCAAGATACATCAATTTCACATCTAAGCTCATCCATAAATACTTGTAACAAAATAGGGCCAATGGTTAAAAAAGAAATTCTTGATTATTTCCTTTTTTTCTTTGCATGGTGTTTACATCAAGAATAACAAGTAGCTTTAAAATAACTGCTCAGTATCAATCTGAGTACTGCTCTTGACTGGATGGTTCCAATTTACAGTCTCTTTACAAGGCTCTTCATAAAGACAATTCCAAGCACACAAATAATGGTAGACATAACTGCTATTTTTATGTTTCAGAATTTATTTTTATTTAACTCCCAAGGTTTACATTTCCCTATATATTTTTTTTTTTTTTTTTTTTTTTTACTTTCTTTCATTTTCCCTCTTTTATCTTCTTAAACAGTAATATCCATTTTAATTCTTGAATAATAGAAAACAAAGTAAAAAAAAAAAAAAAAGTTTAAAAAGATGAACACAATTTTTTATAAAAAATGCTTATAAGTTATCTAGCAGTTATTGAAATTTACAAAGCTTAGTCTGGCACAGGTCCATAAGAGTAAACTATCCAATGAGAATCAAAACTATATATATATATATATATATATATATATATACACACACTGACAGACAGATACACACAGGGTGAGGTAAAAGTTGCACAACACAGGTATAATTTATTAAAGTCACAAAAATTTTATTTACTAGTTATTTGTTATATATGCTGTTCAAAATGCCCTTTTTCAAAAACACATTTCAGTTCTGGGTCTGCATGATTCATTAACACATCAGAGAGTTTCCTCTGTCATTTTATTGCATTCATATTTAATTCTTTCTTTAAGTTCCTCAATATTTCTTGATAAACAACCGATTTCAAATGGCCCCAGAGAAAAAAAAAATGAACCTCAGTAGCCATTCAACACAACAGGGCTTATCAAAACAAATTAGATATTTAAAACAATTAACCCCTATGGTGCTTAACATTTGCCTCACTCTGTATATATTAATATATTTTCTGTTTATATGTTATTTTATAGATATAAATATTTAAGTAAATACTCTGTTTATAATAAACAGTATTAACATTTACTGGCCTGAATATCTGAGAAATTTCATAGAAAATATGTGCACTTTGACAAGAATCAAACCTGTATCCTACATGGAAACTGTCATATAGCCCAACATGCTATACCATTTAGCTACAGAGGAAGCATCTGGTTAGCAAGGTTGAATTAATGCCTTTAAACTACAAATCTCCCATGATTTCTCTTGAATGCTCATATCTTCTCAAAGTGTATCTTAATGTAAACAAATGACATCATATATAATGAAATGAACTATGTCTGACAATTATTTTAATATATTTTCTGTTATACATTATTTTTCTACATACAAATATTTAAGTAAGTACTTTGAGGACACATATTTTCTATGAAATTTCTCAGACATTCAGGCTGGCAAATGTTGTTAATACTGTTTATTATAAACAGAGCATTACTTTTTACATTTGTATGTATAAACAGAAAATATATTAAAATAATTGTTGGACTTTGGTCGTTCCATCTCAAAATCAACCAATGGCCATGGATAACCCTCAGAAAAATTCACAGGTGTTCCTTGATCCAAACATCAGATCTGTATATTTAATAGTTTTAAAATAAGGGCATCTTAAAATTTCACATCGATTTTTATGTTTTGCTTAATAAGACTTTCAACAAACTCATCACATTCATAGCTCCAAGGATATTGCATGTACAGATTTTAAACTTGGTGGCAATAGTTGATACTTATTGTATATTATAAAAATATAAACAGCTCAGGTATGTCTTATGTGTGCCTTTTGTACTTTTATTTTTATAAGAACCTGAAAATGTCACAAAATCCAAAAAAAAAAAAAATCAAAGAGCTTCTCAATTACAAAGTCTGTCATCCAAATTTAGTTTTCCGGTCATTTATGACCTTTCTATACAGTAACCATATTCATTCCTGTTATAGGAATATCAGTCTTACTGTTTGAAAAGTGTTTGATTTTAAAACTGCCTATAATTAGCAGACCTGTTAGGCAGT